CACACTCTTCTGAGACCAAGTTTTCTTTTTTTAAAAGTTACTGTACCAAACAAGCCGGTAAAACAGCTCACCTTCGGTATCATCTGGGATCAACATAAGGTTGATAACAATTATCATGTGTACATTCCAACAGGGATGAGAAACACATCTGCAAGTACAACAGTTAACAGCAAATTAAACCCAAGTTTTAATGGTGTAATTCCTCCAGGTCACAAAATGTGGACAAAATTTTAATCTTAACTACCTTCTGTGCACTATTTGGTGATAATCAGAAAGTAACAATGCTGAAGATTCATTTTATTTCTACTTCCAAAGGAAAAGGGGAAAAGGTTAAATAAGTGTTCTCCAATTTGTTCTCCACTATATGTACACCCACACACATACACACACGCACATGCACACACCCCTCAAACTGCACTGACATTTCTTTTTGACCAAAAGAGTAGATCCTGGGAGTAAGTGCAAAATGCAAAATCAACTGACAGAAAATGCTGAACAAACAGCATCATAAAAATACAAAATATTTATATTACTGAACTATTAACAGATGATGTTCTCTGTTTCTTTAAAACTTTGGAACCACATAGCTGATTTCTTAAATCTAGTCCATGCCAGCTTCCAGAACTATTAATGGTTTAGTTAGCTTCATTCTTTGATGCTTCATCAAAGTTTTCTACGAGATCTGAAAGAGATGAAGATATTTAATACAGTAATGCCCAGTAACATTATCTTCATAAGTTTAATGAAAATGCATATATTATAGGAAGTAGTTCTTAACTACACTTATGTACACCATTTTTTATGTACAGATTTCAAAGGGCTTTGGAAAATAGGGCCTGTTTCAACATACACAAAGAACTAGACATACAGGAACACTGGGAAGAGTCGAAGTTCTAACATGAAGTGATTAAATGCCGATTTTCAGAGGTGCTCTACTAGTTGCAGTTGAGACTTGAGCCATCAGCATTCTTTAAAGAATGCCTGAAGTTAGGCACCCATTAACTGTTGCACTCCAGGAAACAGAAAACTTTAGTGAACTGAATTTTTATGCAAGGTCATGAATATATAAAGCAGCGCCAAAGCATGAGGAATTGAACCTCTGAGTCCACCAGTTTATTGTTTTAGCTAATACACCATACTGATGGATACAGAAGAATGTGGTGATTGATGGACAAACATTTATTTATTGAGAAACTTTCAGACACTGACATAAGCTTTGTTTCTGCTACTAGAGAAATAAAAATCCCTACCCCAGACTCTGATTTAAAGACAACCCAATGACTAAGCCAATCATGTCATTTTGCAGCCCTAAAACCCTATTTGGATATTTAGATCACCTGTTCAACCTCCCTGAAAAGTGTTTTAACCTATTTTCACTTAAGAATTAAGCAATTTGCACAAGGTAAACCTTTTTTTGAAAGCTGGAATCCAAAGTCATCAATGTTGTAATGCTGCCCTTAGCAAGTGGGAAGGATAAACACATCAAGAGCTAAATATTTAAATGCATGAGCTAAAATATTTATACGTTAAATGGACAATACATGTGTATGTACCTACCTGGGACATCATCATCTTCTTCATCAATATCTTCAGATTTTGGTGCTTTACTATCCAACACTATAAAAAGAAAGTTGGTGCTGAGTTCTCATTATAAAGAATTAAGGACAATCACACAACAAAACAAAAAACATAGGGATAAAAAAAAAAAAGAACGCGTTTCCCCAACCCCCAATAGTGACAAACACACAAGTGACTGGGTATCACCAGTAATCAGCATGACCACAAGGTCTACTTGTGAACATTCTTATACCAAAGTATCAGCACAGCCATTTTCAAATGCTTTGGGGTATTAAGGCAGAGCTAGTGAAAGATCAAATGATACAGAAAAAACACAGTGTGACTAAACTTTCTAACTTAAGTCATGTGTTTCAATGCAACAATAATGTGGTACCAATCAAGGACCGACATATCATACGATTTAGTTACCACGGGGCCACAACTGTAGGAAAAATTATTTCCATATCAAGGGTCCTACACCAAACCTAGTCTTCTGTAAGTCATGGAAGTTGGAACATGCTACAAGTTATCTAGAGAAATGCAAGAACTTAAAAAATTAAGTATTTCTTCTCATTGGTCTGACTTCCTGTACTATGTAAAGAAAGCATAGTAAGTATCTATTGGTACCAAGGTTGTATCAAAGAAATATGCTTATGATGATCCATTTTCTGAATTTTAAAGGTTATTTTACATATTAATTTTAGCAAAGAAGGAAAAATAAACCCTTTACTTTCAATTAAACTCTGAACATGAAATACAGAAAAAATCAAAACTGATTTAGAATGAATAACTATTTGTTGAAAATATTAGAACAGGTAATGTATTTTCCAATTCCAAATACAGACAATTGCAACATGTCCAATTACAGTCTAATGGTCATAACAGTATAAACAGTATAAACATGAAAACCAAACTTTTTTGATGTCCAACTTCACCAGGGCTTGATATCAAGAACTAGTTTTAGACAATACACAATGTGAAATATGAACTCTGAGACAGCTACTTGTAATGAAAAGTGTACCTGTTCTGCAGTCTAAGAAAGCTTTTACAAATTCTTATCAAAGTCAACGGACTGATTACTTGCATGCTTTAAAGTACGTTCATGTTCTGATTTCATAACATACACCACTGAAAGAATAAATTTCCATCTATTCTTAAATTACAAACTTGCTTAGGGAGAATAGTTGAGACTTCTCCAAAACATGCTACAGTGCTTCCCCAAGGAGGGTATTACTCTAGAAAGGATTATCCCCAGACTCCATTTCTTCACTGTAAAATTACAGTAATAGTTATACCACATATATACAAGCACCCCCCCCCCCCCCCTCCCCCCCCCCCCCATGCTCACATGGTTTTAAAATTAGTAGAAAAATAACGAATAACATCAAAAACTTTATTTATTTTGAATCAAACCAGTCTTGGTTTAATTCCAAATAGAATTATAGAATACAAGATAAAGAACGTGTTTCTTCTCTATAGCCACAATAGAAATATGTTTTGTATGAATAAAGAAAACAGAATCGATTCCCTGACAAAAAGAACCTGCTGAGTTTTTCCCAGTAAAAACTTGAACCTGCTTTCCTCAGTATTTTGTCATACACAGTTGTACACCTGGAATCACAGCATGCCTGACTCACCAGATTTTTTTTTTTTTTTTAAATCAGGGCCTGCCTATACAGAATCTTGAATCAACAAGGAAAAAAAAAGATTTTTTTCTTTTTTCCCCACCACTATATTTCCACAACAGTGGCAAATAAATAAAAGCACATCTGCTTTTGATCACTTTTTAAGTCACACATGCTACTGTTAAATGTGGGTTAAAATTTTTAGTAGCTCATATGTTCTTTAAATCAGTGATGAAAGATTCCAAAGAGACCTACCTTGTCTTGGGAATTGTTCAGCTAACTTCCTGAGACTTGTTAAGCTGTCAGCACCAAGCTGGCTTAAGATGCCTGGAAGCATTTCTGTGATCGGTTTAGCCTCTGCATGACCAGTAATTGCAAAAGTGTTAGCAGAGAGGGAAGCTTGAACCTTGGGGTTGTTGAAGTGAATAACTGTTCCATCATCTTTTATCATGTTCACCTGTTTAAACATATTAATAACTTTTATCAAAATGATGCAGCACCTTGTTGAACAAGCATGATAAATTACCAATTCATATTTAGATTTAAAATAATGTAAAAAAAAAAAAATCACAAAACTAGTACTCCTCCTAGACAATAATTAACAATGATAAAAGCATCTGGAATTAACATCGCCTAAACTGGAAGTAAAATATAGGTTAATGGAAAATATGGATTCAGACATACTATATGAAAATGCAGAATTCAAGAGCTATGGTTCCTTCATAAAATACACTTATCTAAATATGAAGTAATAAATACGCATGGATTATATGTTATCATACAGTTCATGTATATTTTTAACAAAGGCAAAAAACATACATAGGTTAATAGATTGTAAGACATAAATGAGTTAATATCAGGCATGTTGGAGGGGGTGGGGTGGAAAAACCACCAAAGCCTTCAGCTCTGTGGTAACTCTTTACAAACTAAAAACACTAACAGAAAAGCCCTGCCACACCAGTTTAAGACATGGCCATTCACAGCTATCTGTGTCACCTATGAGGAAAACATTATTGTTTCTGCAGAGGAATTGGCAAAGGCACAAGATTCACAATCTGGCCTACTTGCTGAAGCTGCCCAAGGCAAGGATGCTTCCTGCACATACACACACAGAACTGGAGGTTCATGTAACTGCACTAGAACAGGCTTCTATGCCTTCGTAGTAAGTCTTAAAAGAGTCATCATGGAGTAAGTACATCATACAGTGATCCTGCCTTCTTCCTCTTCCTTGTTGTTCTGAATCACCAAGAATTAAGTTGTACAGCCAGTATAGCAGCCTGCTTTGCTCCTACTGTCAAAGTTTATACTGGCATATATGTATGGGGTTTACTTTGTTTTTTAACTTAAAGGAAGACAGAATGGGAAGTTAAAAAGGTTTTGCTTCTGTGCATGGCTAAACTATGGTTAAGTGGAAAATAATTTGAAAAAAACCAGTAAACAACTACCAAACAGTAGTAATAAACTTATGTCACAAAATTCTTAAGTATTATTTTTAGTGAAGTTACAGGGAGAAAACATAAATTTGGGAACTAAAGAGGAGATCTTAAAATACACAAGCATCTAAGTTACAATGTCCACACAGCAGAGTTCAAAATATGTTTTGAACAGGAAAATCAGGTGTGCTACTTTCCTGCAAAATGAAAGGATGTCCTGTCCCTTACGCATGGGGAAATGGTAAAGGCTTCAAGCACTGTCATCCTCTTACTTAAAAGCCTCTTTTAAAAACCACACAGATGAGCTACTAATGTTTGACTCAACATTACTAGCCTCCCCAAACTCTTCTATCTACACAAAGTTTATCAAGGTCAACTTGTGTCCACCTGAATACAACAACATACTGCAATTATGTACCTAGCTACGCAGCTAGAAGCATACTGCATGATCTTCCTTCACATCAAGACATTTAAAATCCTTAGTAACTGCACCTGAATAAAGATCTTATGCTGGGGAGGGTGGTGGTGGTGGCGGCGGCAGTGGGCGAAGAACAAGCCCCACAAAAAACACCAAACAGAACAAGAACTGTCTTTCTTTGGGTTCATATAGCTCAGCATATACATATCAAGCTTCAGTAAACCGACAAATTGAATTGTTTCTGTAGCAGAGGTATGAAAACTTACACAAAAACCAGACTGCTACTCTGAATCTGTATTTGCCTTTGGAAGAGAGGTATGCACTGAGGCACCTTGCAACCCTGCTTAAATTAGTTATCACAGATTAAATATTATGTTGCTTTAACCAAGTACTACAGTAATATTGAGTTCATGATGAAGCAACACCTCCTCCTCCCACATAAGCGTCACTCTCTACAGTGTTACGGAAAATGTCAGTGTTTCAGTTCATATTTTATATATGTAAAATAGACATATTCAAGGAATATCTGAAACCTTTATATTCCTACTTACATTAACACAGAAGCTGGTTCTGTAAAGTCTTTGCCATGTTGTAAGAACTGTCATCTCCTGTGACTACCACAAACAATTCTGGTAATTTTCATGGAGTAAAAGGACCTAATTTTGATCATACAGACTTGCAAGTTCTTACTCCAGGTATTTTTAAGGTTTTCTTTATATTCTGCACCACACAACCCTTACTTTAGATGTGCCTGTGCAGTACATGTGCAATTACTGCTCTTCTCTTTAAAAGTAGGTAATCAAGTTCATGAAGTCAAGAACCAAGAGAAGTTGTGTTTTGCAATGAACACAAGACACACACACAACAGCTTACTAGCTTCTCCAATCACTATTTAGCCAGCAGAACCTTCTCCCTTCTTTCTCTAGGTATGCATGCATTAATGTAAATGAGACAACAATCAATTAAATAACTTTACCTATCAGTAACCAGACCTGTAAGTTTGAGGGGGAAAAGAAAACCATTGTTAAAAAAAAAATACCCTAAACCAAAACCACAACAAACCAACCAACCAAAACCAACCACCATGAAAACAGCACAGTGAAATTAATTTCAAACAGGAACCACTTATTTTATCACTATACCTCTTCAATGCCAGCAATGTTATTTACTGCCAGTTTTTTGAGGGAACTCTGAAGTTTTTTGTCATCAGCTGTAGCTGTTCTGTGCACCACCTTCTTCTTTCTGCGAGCTGTCCCCTGGAAAAGAATCAAGACACAGAGGTCAGCTATTCTCAATATCTCACCACACTTTTGAAAGTCATACTGCACTCTGAGCAACCTATCTGTAAGCTATCAGAAAACTCTGCAGTCAAAAATGCTTTTCATCTTACTTCCCCTTCAGCTACAGTTTTAACTGTCAGTCTCAATTTTAAGGTTTTTCTTAAGTGTAAAAGACCAAAAAGACACCGAACAGCAGCAGTATTTTTCCCTTCCCACAAGCTAGATTATAAAAATACTACTTAATAGTAAGCAATATATAAAGAGTTTCCCCAAGAACTTTATTTTTTCTAAGATGAAGCACAAATAGAGCTATTTAAGAAGGTCACACTTTTGTACCCGAGTAATTAACATTTTTAAACTGTTCCACAGACAGCAATTTTAAAAATTCCTACTCTGCAAACTTTAGTACAACCCCGCCTAGGGTTAGGAGATGAACAGCCACACTGAACAAACTACATGCCTTGTTTTGTCATATTAGCTACCTGCTGGCTCAGGGAAAAGAAACAGCTCAGTGCAGTCAGATAAGCCCTGGAGCTGACACAAACTGCCCAACAGGCAGAAGAGAAAGGCAGAACTGGAACAACCAACAGGTAAGCTTAGCTTGAGCGTTCACAGGTCACAACAAGTCACTGAATTAAAAAGAAAGCTTACACACTGAGGAAACTACTCGTCCAGCAGTTGTGAACCGAAAGAAAAATCGCATTTCAGGTAGCAGTACTACGACCCAGATCACATAAAAATTGTATTTTTCAGGCCTCAAATATATGTATTTTTTTTCCTCCCTCCCGTGAACTAAAGCCTATGTTCCGAAAAACAAATTTCGGAGATGTTTCTCCTTCAACCTGTAAATTACAGGAAACAGTGCATCTCTGATGGTTTTCTTACCTTTCCTCCTATTCGGACCTGTGCTTGAAGCTTGGCCAGTTTTTCTTGGTTCATAGTGCTGCGTCTAAAGAATAAGAATGAGCTACAAATACACATTAACTATCAAAATACTAAAAAAAAAAAGTTTTCCACAGTCCACTTTAAAAGTAGTCTTAAAATTGCAGCGAGTTTTTAAACTTGTAGAAAATTCACCAAAACAGCATATCAAATAGACATAAACAAAAAGCTTTAAAGCCACACCACCTAAATAACACAAAGTGGCCCACCACTGCTGTCTGCTTAGCTAAGTGTCTGTACCACGATGAGCCAAATCAAGAGGACATTTGATTTTGCCTGTCTGAGGTACTAACAGTGAATTTTCAAGTATGCTAGTTTACTCTTGGAACCATTTGACTTAACTACTGACTCAGAACAGACCCAAATCAGCACGTACAGCACGAGTGCTTCTCGGAAAACACCTTTAGCTTTAACAGAGCCCAGGGAGAGACTCATCACTACGCTACTTTGAATACTATCTCCAAATAATTAATCTCTGATACTTTTTAACTAATAAGCCAGCTCCAAACTCAGTGAAGTTCACGTCTTGACAGATCTCCTATACGAATCTCTGGCAGCTATTCATCCAATTCAATGACTAGGAAAATAGTCAAGTTGCTTCTCCAACGAGTCAGGTGGGACCTTTAAAGACTGGAACACCTGAAAATCTGTAATGGGTGAAAAAACACCTCAAGCCTTCCAACACAAGGAAGGTATTTCGCTGCTCTGCCCTAAGAAGCCATCAGCGACTCCCTAAATGAAGGGGAAACCCCTCTCTGCATTTGCATTGTGCCGGGGAAGCGACGGGATTGCCGCGGGCGAGCAGGGACCCAGCGAGGCCCCAGCACGGCCGGGAAGATCACCACAGGGACAGGGACTGCGCCGGGGAGGCGGGAGAAGGGACTCGGGCCGGCAGGGCGGCTCGCTAGCCACCCCCAAAGCACGGGGAGCGGGAGGAGACAAAGGCCCCGTCCCTCTGAGCCAGGGCAACCGCGGTCCCAGGGGAGACTCGCGGGCCACCCGAGCCAGGGCAGACCCCACCACGCCGC